TATATTGGTGAATTCAACTTTTACATAGTTTTGGTCTCTATATACATGTATAATTTTAATACTTGAATTTTAAATTTTATTCATGTTCTTTCCCACGAATTTTCAGAAGATCTATATTTATAAGAAAAAATATAATATTATGTTAATAAAGTTTTAAGGTGCTTGAATAAATAAATTTGATAAAAATGGTAAATATTGGTGTACCTTTTTGGACTCTCTAGAATTACACTTTTCTTACATTCCAATGCATTGACATGGAACTTTTATGAATATGAGAATTATTCTAAAGTTTGAATATAACAACTTTGGACAATGAGTGTTCAATCTTTCTCTCTCTCTCTCTAAAAATGTTAGAGAGAGAGACATGCATGCAAGCCATGGTCAAGGGATAGAAAATTTCAAAAGTATAATAGTAAACATTTCTAATTTTCGACAAATACAACCAATTTTTTTCATAAGAATTAAACAGGCGTCAAAGGTATGGAAAAAAAGTAGAGTAGGAAAATTGTTTATTTATTTATTTTTTAATACAATAATATGTGGGATGGAGAGTTCAAATAATATGTGGGATGGAGAGTTCAAATTATCCACGACTCTGATTGAGAATAATTGCTTAATCAGTTGAACTATGCTCATATCGACTTGAAAATTATTATCATTACATGTCTATAACCAATTTAACTGGATTGAGAGATAAATGAAAGAAAAATATTTAGTATTTCTGCCACTTCAAAAAATATTGACTCATTTATTTTCGTATGATTTACTCATGTAGTATGGAAAGGTTGATGATTGGTAATAATTATTTGTAAATTAATTAGCTAAAACAAAGTTAAAAATAAAAGCTCAGGCATGAAATTTTTTTATATATATAATTCAATAATAATAATATATGTGGAGGTAGAAATTTAAACGTTGATTAACTTCTTGAGATCAGAATATATATCTTAATCAGTTGAGAACACCATGTAAAAACATTATACATTAATTCTATAATTATTTATTTATTTATTTATTATTATTATTATTTTTTTTTTTTTTGCTAATGTGACATTTTAAATGAATATCACACTATTTATTATTTTACAAAATATCTTCATATGATTTAATTCAATCGTGATGATTTCCTATTTGTACAAATTTTCAAAGCGAAATGCATTTTTATGCCTTAGAGATAATTACCAATCACATTATAAATTACAATATTGTGCTATTTTACAATTGATCCCTTCTAAAAAAAATGTGCATATTAAAAGTCGTCTTTGTTGAATAAAAACACCTTAATGTGTATATTTTATGAATCGAAATGTATATTACATTTACATAAATACACGTATTTTTATTTTCATTCTTATATTTTATGATGCGTTTGGCTTTTATTTTATGATTAGCTTTTAAATATAAAGTAAAATACAATGTATTGTTCTAGTTACTTTTTTCAATTTTGTACTACATTTATATATATATATATATATATATATATATATATATTTTAGTTAAAAAATTTTGGGAGAGTTTCAACCCTTTAATCGGAAGGTAATTGATACTTTATCCTATAGATATGATTGAGTGATATGATTTTAAAGTCTATGTTAAATCTAATATAAAAATTTTAATGGGACAAATATAATAATTTTTTAAAAGTTTGAAGACAAAAAAATAAATATTTTTAAGTAGAAAGGACCAAAATAGAATATATATTCATAAATGTTAAAATATCCAATATTTTGATTCTTGAATTTTTTGTGTTTGTTATTTTTATCTCCTAAATTTTAACATTTGGTTTAGTCTCTGCATAAAAAAGTTATCTTAACCCTAGCTACTGATTCTTCTAATAAATTTATTTAATGCATACTTGACTGGGCACATATTTTATATACATTTACCTTGAGAATTTTAAGTAAACAAATAATGAAAACAACACGTACTAGATTTCAAAATGACTTCATAAATAATTAATAGAAAGTTGACTATAAAAATGAAAATACCTTTTTCATGCAAATTTAGAGACTAATAAGTCGAGGGGCAAAAAAAGATTTAAACTTAAAAATTACAATTTTATAAAAATGAGAGCTAGCAAGACGATGAATATCAAAGATTGATATACGAACTTCATTTGGCATATCAATTTCACCATTAATCATGTTTTATAGCTTGCACTCCAATAGATTGATATACGAACTTCATTTGGCATATCAATTTCACCATTAATCATGTTTTATAGCTTGCACTCCAAATACAAATAAAAGCTCATTAATAACACTTTTTTCCACAAAGTTCAAATAATAATCAAAAGAGGTGTCCAATAAAGTCCAAATACAAAGACATTGACTTTTTCCATAAATGGGTCAAACTTGATGGAGGTAGATGCAACTACTACACATACACTTGCTTTTAGCCTTCATTAATGCACAAAGGCAAAATGCATCAATATTTCATACAGTTGCCTTTGAATTTCCAAGGGATATGGGGGTTAGCTTTTATTTATGCTGCCAAATAAATTTGGACTTTTGCCTCTCTCTCTCTCATTCATTCATTTATTAGCCTTCAAAGGGCCCTATACCAAGTGAATTGCGTGTGGAAGATTGTTCCTTTTTGTTTCGACCGGGATGTAGAGATGATTTGTAGGGAATCTTCAATGTAACAGGTAAAATATAGTTGTCTCGATTAATAAGTAAAAGTAGAAAGTACATATTTTTTATTATGAATCTAATGATTTATGAGAGTGACGTGCTACACTTATGACAGGTATTTCTAGTAATTTTTTTGGTAATATAAGTGGTGTTGAAACTTCTAACTTTATAAAAAAATAATAATAAAAAAAAAAAATTAGAGGGGTTGTTGTTTCAAAAAATATATTCTTACTTATTCTAATAAATTTTTAGGTACGAAGCAACTAGAGTTTCATATCAATCATAGATGGCGATAAAATTATAAGGGATCGAGACTTTTGAATTAATAATATATTCAAATCTTTTAACAAGACCAAATTCTTCCTATTTGATGCAATTAATCACTCTTTTATAATGGTGCAAGCAGTATATTTTCCATCAATATTTGAATGGGAAAGAAATATTATTGGATTGGCAATGAACACTTTAATTTAGGGGCTAAGCAGAAATTAATATTTTGACTTCATATGCCTAATTAATTTCCATTATTGAGGAAGCAAAAGTCAACTACATTAGTTAGTTGTGCATGCATGCTAATTGGATAGGGTTTTATGAAATATATATATAATTTCCAAAATTGAGTTGTTGGGTGTTTAATTTGTTTAATTAAGATCATTACTTATGAACTCTTGGAATTATATGACTAAACTTTTCATAAATCAAAACGTTCAATATCGACACGAGAGTTGACAATATTTTTTCAATAAAAAAATATAGTAAAAATAAATGATTGAGTGATATGATTTTTATTTTTTAATAGAATATTAGTTAGTTTTTTTTTTAAACAAATTCGAGACCTTATTAGTATAAACATTTTAACTTGGCCTATCAAACTAATCAATCCTCTTGTTCTTATTGTTAAATACCTCAATGTTATGTAGTTTTGTTTGTCCGTGACGAATGTGATTTTGAGTGAAATAAAGTTTGATCGGTTCTATTTAAACAAATTCATTAAATTGTTTGTCTCGGTTGTTAAATACTTATATATTAATTTAACAAAAAAATTTGGGTATGGAAAAGAGGAAAGAATAGGTTGCATGATCTAACTAGCTCTCTCACACCTAAGATTCTAGGTTGAATTTGGTGTTTTACAATTGTTCATGAGGAGATTGTGATAAAATTATTCAACAAATCTCACACAAAACTTGGCTTCTGTTAATATGGTTAAAAAATGTTAATTTTATGACTACTTCCAACCCACATGAGTTAACTCTCTCACATTTTGTGGAAAGAAAAAAATCTATATATATTTCTTATTCGACAGAAATTTTCTTTTGAAACAAAGAAATATCTTGTCTACACAAAAAATGATTCTTTAAAGAAAAAAGTAGTTGATCGATAAAAGCACATATAGAGAATTATCTATAAAATACACACACATCTCATGATACTGTATAAGTAGAAAGAGTTACGTTTAGAGTACATTTTCTAGAATCATACCAATACGAATATACTCTTGGGGAATTCAATTCAAAGATTCTCTTTAATGAAAGGAAGTAGGAGGTTGAATTTGAAAGTGGGTAACAGAGAATTAAAAAAGAAATAGAAAAAAAAAAGTAGGAACTAACTAAGAAAAAAAGAGTAGATTAGTGAGTATTTAAAAAATGCCAAAGGTTCTTAAACATATATTATACAAAGTCCCCTTTTGTCTTAGCCAAAGGACATCTTCTAATTTAATTAAAAAAAAAAAAAGGACATCTTCTCTAGTTTTTTTTGCTTTTATTACCGACTCCACCCTCTCTCTTTCTCCCCCCTCTCAAGAGTCATTAGATTTGTTAGAGAAAGGAAAACAATAACGTCCCACATTGACTACGTAAAGAAATGATCCATCAATTAACACGGGATCTTTTTGAGTGAAACCAAAAGTAAAATCGTGAAAGCTATGCCCACATATATTTGAGATACAAAGGGTATCGTCATCAACTTCAAATTCTCTCTCTCAATTAGGAGAGACCACAACAACTTCCTCGGATCAAATAAAGTCATGAAAGTTATATCCACATATCTGATCTCTCTCTCTCAATCTCTGTGTAAGAAAAAAATGGGAGGATCCCCCACACGCTAATTTTGTAACCCTTAGGCTTTGGGACACGTGCTGCGAGAGTCCCTTTCCTTTGTTGGCTTTGGGACACGCTAATTCTGTGTAGCCAAAACTCTTTTAAGAAAATAAAAGTAAAACAAAAATGAACCTAGAGAGAGAAGTATGAGCTGGAATGAGATTCCGTGTGTGCGCCTTGAGCTGTACTGAAAGCCCCTCTTTCTCTCTTGTTTCTCCCTTCGCCATTAATTCACCATCAAAACACTATATATACCCCTTTCTCAATCCCATCTTTCTTCACCCTCCTCTGCAACTTCAAACTTCAAACTTCAACTTCATCACCATGCTCTGTTTTCTCTGTTTCTCTCTCTTCTTCTTCTTCTTCCTCCTTCGTTCTCTCTCCAAATCCTCCGCTGCCCCTCGCCGGAAACTCCCCCTGCCCCCCGGCTCAATGGGCTGGCCCTACATGGGAGAAACCTTCCAGCTCTACTCTCAAGACCCCAATGTCTTCTTTGCCTCTAAAAAGAAGAGGTCTCCCTCTCTCCCTCTCTCTCTCTCTCTCTCTCTCTCTAAAGTTATCATTTTGTTGTTTTTGGGTCTGTTTTTGAAGTGGGTTTTGATTAATTAAATTGTTTTGATTCAGATATGGGCCAATTTTCAAGTCCCACATATTGGGGTATCCTTGTGTGATGGTTTCGAGCCCTGAGGCTGCCAAGTTTGTGCTTGTCACTAAAGCTCATCTCTTTAAGCCTACATTCCCGGCCAGTAAAGAGAGGATGCTCGGCAAAAATGCCATCTTTTTTCATCAAGGAGATTACCATGCCAAATTGAGGCGGCTCGTGCTTCGAACTTTCATGCCTGAGAAGATCCGAAACATCGTCCCGTCGATCGAATCCATTGCCAAGAACACCGTTCAATCTTGGGAAGGCCAATCCATCAACACCTTCCAAGAAATGAAGATGGTATAAGTCTCAACACAAAGAAGAAAACAGAGTGAAACAGAGCAAAACAGAACTTCTCTGTTTCTTGTTCCTCTGTTTTTCTTTGCCCCATTTTGTAAACTTGGTGTTCTAAAAGCTTATTCTTTCTTCTTCCTCTCTTCTTGGTTTAGTTCGCATTCGAGGTTTCGTTGCTTTCGATATTCGGAAAAGACGAAGCTCTCTACTTTGAGGACCTGAAGCGATGCTACTACATTCTCGAGAAAGGCTACAATTCGATGCCGATAAACCTGCCCGGAACACTCTTCCACAAGGCCATGAAAGCCAGGAAAGAGCTAGCAAATATCCTCACCAAGATCCTCTCAACCAGGAGAGAAATGAAGCGCGACCACAACGACCTCCTCGGATCGTTCATGGGCGAAAAGGAAGGCCTCACCGACGAGCAGATCGCCGATAACGTCATCGGTCTCATCTTCGCCGCCCGGGACACGACCGCGAGTGTTCTAACATGGATCTTGAAGTATCTAGGAGAAAACCCAAGTGTTCTTCAAGCTGTCACTGTAAGACCCATCTCTCAACTTTCACATACTCACCAATCTCACTTCAAATTCTCTTCTGGTTGAAAATTAATTCTCCTCTGTTTTCGGTTGTAGGCTGAACAAGAAGCAATAATGAAAGCAAAACAGAGTGGAGATGATAATCTCACCTGGGGTGACACCAAAAACATGCCAGTCACTTCAAGGGTCATTCAAGAAACTCTAAGAGTGGCCTCTGTTCTATCATTTACCTTCAGAGAAGCAGTGGAAGATGTTGAATTTGATGGTAAAAACCAAAAAACAAAACTTTTACTACAAAAAACTGTTCAAATTTTCAAAATCTAAACCAGTTTTGCTTACTCGGTTCCTTCTCTCCACAGGATATTTGATTCCAAAAGGATGGAAAGTTTTGCCTCTCTTCAGAAACATTCATCACAGCCCAGAAATTTTCCCCCACCCTGAAAAGTTTGACCCTTCAAGATTTGAGGTAAAAAAACAAACAAACAAACAAACACCACTATTTATTTACTGTTACTTACTTTCCTCATTTAGCAAAACACAAGATCATCCTGATGGAAAATGTTGGAACTTTTTTTTGCGCTACAAATTTGGAAAAACCACAAACTCAATGATTGTTTTGATATGATTGGAACAGGTTGCTCAAAAGCCCAATACCTACATGCCATTTGGCAATGGGACCCACTCCTGCCCAGGAAATGAATTGGCCAAGCTGGAGATGCTGGTTCTACTCCATCATTTAACCACAAAGTACAGGTGGGTAAAAAAAAAAATTTAACTTTTTTCAAAAGGGGTATTTTGGGAAATGTTGTTCTAACATTTTTGGCTTGAAATTTATGCAGGTGGAGTGTAGTGGGAGCACAAGAAGGGATTCAATACGGCCCTTTTGCCCTTCCCCACAATGGACTGCCCATTAGAATCTCTCTAAAGAAGTAGAGAGAGAGAGAAAGAAGATTGTTCCAAAAATTTGAGTCCCAAAATTCAGATAGCAGTTTCTAAATGTAGAAACAGTTTGCCTTGGAAAATTGCTCTTCTCTCTCTCTGCGATCCAAAAATAAAGAAATAGTTAACATATTCAAGATAACGTATTTACGAAATACCCTCTCGGTGGAGTCAGAATCAGACCAAATGCTGGGTCATGGATCAGAAGAGAGAGAGGGGGGAGGAGAGAGAAACCCACCTTGTTTTTTGGGGAAGGGGACAGTTTATGACTCACAAGAGAGTCATTATTAGTTATAAGTATAGAGATGGATATAGTTTTAAATGGCAAAGCCAGAAGAAGAAGAAGAAAACAAAGCCTTATTCAATCTGACCAACAACAATATCTGCAAGGCACCAAAAATCAACGGTCCTCATTTTTTTGCCCTTTTTATTCTTTTTTATTTTACAATTTTCATGAGATGAAAAGAGGAAAAGTCCTCAAGGAATGATTGATGTATTTACATTTACATACCAATATTTTTTTTTCCCTTTTTCTTTTTGTTGTAACCAAAAATTGCCGCAAGGCCAATAAATCTAAATAAACGTTCTTCTCGAGTTATTTGGATGAGTTCTTATTGTGTATTTTCGAAGAGGGAAAAGATTATATATGTTAGAATAGAGATTGTTTGCTTGTTGTATCGAGTAGRTCCATGATGATATGGATTGATAGATGTTGTAATTTTAGATTTGAAATTCTCCTCCGACTTTTCGCCTTTTATGAATGTGCTTTTTCTTCTCTATTGATGCTTGTCGTCCATTTCACAATCTTACTTTTATAAGGATCAGCGGAACATCGTAGTCTCAACTTATGTTCCATCGAACAACTCTATTCACATAGTTAAGATATGGGTTCATGTGAACCATGTGAAGAGTGAGGATGGGTAGTTTATTGCATGTAAAATGATATCTAACACTTACGTTTTTTATAGGACAACCACAAATATGACTTGTTTCCTTTTTTATTTAAATGGTAAAGGAATTCAAATCATTAGAATTGGGCTTGGGTGCTTTTGTAGTTATTGAATTTTTTTATATATACACCATGAAATTCCCTATAGTTTTTGACCCTATGATGCACGGGAGGTGCAGGAAAAACCACCAATGAAGAAGATCCAAGAATGATGTTGGTCCGATTAGGTACTTACCAAAATGAAAGGAAATAAAAGAACTCGTACTCAGGGTAGGTAAACATGCGAGTACGATCAGAATGAGTAGAAAGATCAACTAGCCTTTTTAAGAAATCATTTTGCACATTTTCGTTTCGTGCCAACCACCAAGACTTTTGCAAGCATGTTCTTTAAAGGCGAGAAGTGAGATTTTTTCTTTGTTTTTTTTTTCAAAAGAAAATCTTGTAAATATTTAATATTAGACGATAGTAAATAATTTCTACTCCCTGCTCAATAGAAAGTATTGTAACATAATTTATGAAAAATTAACTGCAATCATAAGTTATTTTTTTTCTTTAATGTAAAGTACAGTACTGTCCTAAAATAAAATGTTGGAAAGTTTAGGAATTAAAAGCAAAATAAAAAAGCAAAACTTTTTGTGGAAATGAATGTTGTTGGTGCAGTGAATTATGGTTATTTTAGTATTTATGAGTCAAACATTGAACAGACAGCCAAACATGACCATGACGTGTTAACTTCTTAATGCTACAAATAAATCATCCCATCTACCCTTATACTCAACATTTTGAATTCTTGACTTACAACAAATAAGAAAAGAAAAACATTAATTAGACAATTTAATTCTCTCTCTCAACTTTGACTTTCCCATGACTATTATTTGTTCAACAGCAAAAATTAATGTTCAAATAAATAAATTCTTCTATATTTCCAATGAAAAAAAGCCACGTGATTTGGCTTACATCGCATCTAATTATTGTATTTTTCAAATAGAAAATATCTATGAATGATTTCAACACAAGAGTCTCTTTGATTTTTTAGGTGAATCGAAACATAGTTCAATAGATAAGATAAATTTGATTCGATCTTCCTCTACAAAAGTAATTAATTTATTTTTATATTTACCCAAAAAGAAAGTTGAAAATTGTGAAATTAAGAGAGCTAAGTTTGAAATAATTAAAAGTTAAAGGGTAAGGATGAGAAATTTAAGTAGGTGGAGGGACGTATTCATAATGTCATTATTGTATAGTCGCGGGGTGTTTCAAATGGTTTTGTTTCTATATAGATATAGATTTCTTGAAAATATAGAACGAAATTCTTAGATCGACACATTTTCAAATATTGATCTACCTAATCTTCAAATATACGCGTGTTTTTTTTTTCAAAATTTTAATTTTGTTGAGTCTTGAAAACTTGGAAAGATTTTCAAAAATTCAAATCTTGTTTTGTTTTTCACGTTAATTGAGGTTAAGGACGGTAACGTTATTCTTCTTTTTTTATTTTCGCCATAGCTAAATCAATTCTATGACAAATTTTAGTGTAATTGTGCATTAACTAAAATAGGGTAATATTATTTGAAGATACTAAGATGTTATAAATAGAAGTACCAAGCTTTGATATCATCGTCCTTAAATTGTTCTAATTACAGAAAAAGAGAACTTTTTATTAACAAAAGAGAGCCAAAAGGACAAGTATGTTTATGATAAAAATTTGATGGCGGAAAGAATTGAATTCAAAGAGTGCAAAAAAACCTACCGTAAAGAAAAAGAGCTCTTATGTTCAAGTTAGTGGACCTGTCTGTGGAGTACGTCTATGTATTTATAAGCATTGACATATGGAACCCACTCAACCGTTACTAAACACGATAGTGAGATTCCATACATGAGATCTACAGTGGTGGGTGAACGCACGGTTGAGAGCAGTTCTATTTGATACCCTCACTTGACCTTTCTTGAGGTCAAGAGGAGTCTAAGTGAAGTTGATCTCAAACTTTAGTACCATCTCTTTTTTTGCAACGTGGAAGGTCGCTTTATGTCATACAACATAAAGTATTTCAATATATATCAATTACGCAAACATAAAATTTATCATTTATGCTCAAATTAATATAGAATAAGTAGACCTTTAAATAGCCCATATTTGAATTATATTGAGGTTGAAACATCTACCTTCGATAACTTGAATTCATTTTCTCAATCACAATTACAACTGAAAAATGATTTGTAACAATAAAGTCGCTATTCATCTTGTTTTATTTAGGTTAAACTGCATTTTCGATTCGTGAAAGTTTGTTGAATTTGATTTCCATACTTTGATTCATTAAATTGGATCTTGAACATTTTTATAAATTAATCATGCATTTAATAAATTTGTATTGATATCTTATCTAATTTTTAAATTCATGGGTCAATCTATTAATAGTTGAACTAATTAAAGCATTGATAAAAGATTCTTAAAAATGAGAGGTGGAAGATTGTTTTATATTGTAGTTAATAAAAAATCAATTTCATGTCAATAAATATACGAAAATATATTTTTTAAAGATTTTATTGATAAAATATTCCAAAATGTTATATATAATTTAACCCTAATAATTACACCAGCTATTTTCCATCCCCATCATGTGGGATTGATGGTTTGGACTTCTGTGCAACTACTAACTGTGGCTGCTTTCGTTGACTTTCTCAAATGCCTACAAATAAATAAATATATATATATATATACATATATATATATATATATATATATTTTATACAAATAGATGTAGATTTAAATTTACGAGATTTTAATCCAACAGTGATACATCAACGTAATGAAGTCATACTTAAGTTGGCAAGAAGGTAAATATATTGTTTGGTCATTAAAAATATACACTAATTTTCAGTTTTCTCTTTAATATCTTAAAATTAAATTTATATTTCACCATTTAAAAAAAATCAATTCAAAAACTGAACTTAAACCCAATTCAAATAGGTATAACATTATTAATTATTAATTTAGTTTTAAGATGGTAGATTCAAAAACTCTACTTTGGATTTGAATTGTAATAAAATTGTAATATGACAAATGAAGCGGAACTATTTATGGTAAATACATTTCTAAGTTTTTCGATTAAGTAGGTATAGGATATTATTGAAATTTTATATCGAGTCGGAACTATGGTATGAATGTTGAATATTAAACATGTTAGTTCATATATAACTAATACCTTGTCGAGTTACTTGACCTATCCATTTCAATTTCATATCAATTATTGTGTAGGAATTTATACAAGTACCAAAAAAAAATGTGATGAAATTGACCAAACCAAATTGAACTTTTCATCCATATGAACAACAAATGTTAATAAGTTCAGTTTCATAAATTATAAAACCGAAAGTTTATTGGTTGGCTCGGTTTGTCAATAATTTCAATCAATTTCAATATTATATTTCTATCAACTTTCATCAATTCGATCTAGAAAACAATTTTATACGTCAGTTTTTTATTTTTCTTAAATTAACTAGTAAGTACAACATCATTTTTGGATAAAAATAAAAAAATAAATAAAATTAAAACATAGAAGATTATGCTTAATCTTTTAATTAATCATTGGGAACAAAATTGAACAGTAGTATATAGTTAGAGGAAAAAGATTTAAAATAATATTTTGGTCTATATACGTTAGCTTTTTATATTAATTTTGGTTTCTGTACTTTTAAAATGTTCGTTTTGGTCTCGATAATTTCAACTTTAGTTAATTTTACTCTCCGTACTTTTAAAAATGTTAATTTTGATCCATGTATTTTTAGAAAGTAACTATTTTAATATTTTTTTTCTAAATTTTTAACCCAAATTATACACCTAACGAAAACTCTTTGATATCAAGTTATAATTACATTTCAATAAATATATTGAGTGTGATTTTGTAATAAAATTGTGATAGAAAATGAGATTAAGATATTACAAAAATAGAATGAAATAAACCAAAATTTAAAACTTTGAAAACATAGGAACGAAAATGAAGTCAAGGTAACCGATAAAAACAAAAAAAGAAAAACAGTGGGAGGAGAGAGAACAGGATTATAATCAAATGATGAGAGAGAGAGAGACACGTGGCGTCACAAAAAGAGCTGACATTGGTTTGCTTGCATTCGTGGCTGCCATCTTTAATAAGAAAACAAAAGAAAGATTGCATGTGTTTCGCTTTTGAGATTTTTTCCATTTTTTCCATTTTTCTCCATTTTCATATATATATTTTATTTCCCAATTCAATGCATATCCAAACAATTGTAAATCAAATTGGCTACAACTTAAGCAATTTCAAACCTAAAGGAAAACCCCGTGGTCTATTTTATTTTTAATATATTGTCTCGTTTCATCCATTCTAAGAACCCAAAAAAAAATATATATATATATACATATACATATATATACATATATACATATATATATATATATCTTTTTTTATGATACCAAACTATCTGACACGTGTATGATTTATTGTTCTGATCCCATTAAAATTAGGAAAAAAAATGATGAGAAGAGTAAAAATTCAACAACTCATCTACTCTTTTTTTCTTTTTTTCAGTTCATAACTCATCCACCTATCAATTATAAGTTATGACTTTAATTGCATTGTTGTAATTACAATCCCTTCTCTAAGATATTTTTTATTGTCATTATTCTAAATATCGTTTTTTTTTTTGACATTTTGTTGGATTGTGATTGCTAAAATCATTATTGTCATGAGTGTCAAGTTTCTCTTTTTTCTATAGTGTCGCA